TATCGATATGGACAAGAAGTTGTATGGATTCCAACTACATTAAAGATACTACGACATTCAGATACGTGAATAGTGGATACGGTGGACCAAGCCGAGGCAGTTGTATTTAATTTAGTTGGTGCAAGTAGAAATTCAGTCATGTATGATTAATCCAACATCCACAAGCTTCGATCTTACTGAAGTTGAACTTAAAAAATTCTCAGCAATACAGAGAATGGTTTCAAACATCAAGTGAGAGTGCAGAATTATTTATGTTATTGGTCTATAAGTAGAATGGAAACCTTTATAACCATTTGATGGGGAAAAAAAGAGATAATAATAATTCATATCTATTGCTTTGTGATACTATTGAGAGTTCATAGCACAAAAACATCTTAATGATGACTGATAACAAGACGATAGTTTGAGCAATGAATAATAAGCACTCATTGTAAAGAGTTTAAGGATACATTATTGGATTAGCTTTGTAGTGTCAGGTTGTTGCTTAAAACTGAGAGAATTTTTATCTCGAATCTTATTGAATACAAAACATGAAAAATAAGCAAAGTAGAGAAGAAAGATGGATAATCTAATTTTGATGATAAACATCTTATATGGTCAAAACCAAATAACTTGTATCTTTGGTGGAGAAAAACACGATCATTTCAATACAACTATGTTTGTTCTACTGTCGCTTTCAATAGATTCTAATACGTTTGTATACAAATTAGGAACATTATTCTTGAAAACTTGATGATATTTCCACATCAGCTCTTGTTTCAACTGTTTGCTAAATTCAGATTTTGTCTTGTAAGTTTGAGAGCTAGAAGGTGATTTTGAACACGTGATTCCAATCCTTCACAATGTTCTCCGTGAAGCAAATCATAGGGTTTGATAATTACTAAACTTTGCTGACAACTTATTAGCTAAAAGCTTACGTTCGTAAATTTGGTTCTAGTTTATCGGGTTTCAAACATTCATCTTACTTATTCGTGAATTGTAAATCAAATGTCTATGAAGGTAATCATAGGGCTATGCATAGAAACAACTGATAAACTGTAATATCAAGATAACATGACTTTTCCATATAATTCTCCAATAAATATGATGCGACTCATCCGCCATCGTAATAATGAGGATATATAACCTTCCCAAAAGTACACAAAATATCAAGACAGCATGACTTTTCTATATTATTCTCCAATTCCTTCAGAGGCACCCCTCAGCCATAGAAACACCGTGGCAGAGGGGTGCCTCTGAGAGAAGATAAAACCTCCCCAAAAGTAAACTGTCAAGCAATACTTTGGAGAGGAGGTGACTTCTAGGCTAAACGGTCCACGATGCCAAGATTGATCCAAACAAGCTTGGCTAAAGAATAAAACCAAACACAAGGTTTTCAATAAGGTTTGCAGAAATGAAGGAAGGAAGGAAAGGGAGGGAGGGATGATCAGAGACAGGCTCGATTGCGACAAAGCAAGATTCCACCAGCTGACCCGCGGCAGAGAATGAAGATGGACAAGCAAAGAACGTCGCCATGACATCAGTCCTCACTCTTGCCAGCATGCAGAGTGCAGGCCTGCCCAACATTGTCCATGAATAAATTGTATACAATGCAGCAATCACCTGCGTTCGAGTCTTCTCAATTGATGCATCTTTCAAGGTCACTCGACGTTCCAAGGATATCTAAGTGACATCAGGCTACAGCACAACACCAACAAGGACAGGCTCCGGTCTTTTCTCCGTGTCGAATGTCAAAGCGGTCTCCCGTCCAATCTTCTAAATCATGATGCCGTAATAGAAATCGATATAGTGCCCTTGTTGAAGTAGAGTACGTAAACAAAGGAATGTTTCGTGCAAACTCATGATTTGGCATCTCTCATGGGACTGAAGCTTAGTTATGCTCATACACGTACCTTCCAAAAGCAGGAGTTTGAAAGGATCAAATCTTTCAATTATAACTTTTGGGATCTGATTATCACTTACGTGGGTGTCCTGATATTCGAAGTGAGTTCTGAGTAGGAATCAATGAATCAAATATTTTTCAGTGATTATATGGCCCTTATGATTTTGTGTTTTCTATAGTCACTTGCACCATCAGGAGGGGACTGTAGACGTCAAGAGACAAGGCCTGCCTGGTTTGAGACAAAAGCGATGAGATATTCATGGACATTTAATATCCATTATATTCATCACATTCTATAATAGAATGCCTGTTGACTTGCACATCTGAGACACCCGATATCAAGGTACACGTACATTATGTCAATCACAGCCTTTCACGCCAAGCCCCTATTTTCGGTTTTTTTTCTTCTGTATAAGGCTTAATGGAATTCTTTCCATCTTTCTTTGTTAACTACTTGGCCCCCAAGGAGTTTCTAGTTTAGAACACGTGTGTGCAAGTGAGAGTGTTGACTTTCCTGGTCCCTAAGAATCTTGATAACTCAATTTTTTGCTGATCTGCAACGGTATCTGCTGGTAGTAAACTTATCTATAGAATGAACATGCTCATGCTTGGTAACACAGTTTCAGGACCGATGTTAGATGTGATTCTCGATAAAGGTGACGACTCCTGTAGAGTTATTGGATAAATTGTGCACTTTCTGTATATATTTTATCATCCCCAATCGTGATTGCATAGACGCCTATATTTGAGATGTATATCATATACGTGGATGGGATCATTCCCTTACATATAAAACTATGATAGAAAGATTATTTTGCATTAAGATAAGCAGTAAGAGCTACTATCTTTTACTCTTGATACTGATGGGACCAGAGATCCACAGATTCAACCAGCCATACATGCTCCTTCACTCATGCTCGTAAATCTTATTTCGACATTGCATTGGGAGATTTGGACTTGCTCATCTATTTTTTAAGAGGTTCGGAGAGGCAGTCTACAAAAAAAAATTGGGTTTGACATTTTCTGCCAGTAGGTCCGACGCTTCCAGATTAGTTTTGGACAAAATCCGGTTTTTCGATGGGCTGGCTATCCAAAGCTCTTGACTAACGGCCCAAAGAACACGAGATACTTTGTGGGTCCGAGGGGCCGGGGACCGGGGATTGGTTGACACGGCCCCTGGGATGAGTCCAGCATTTTATTTTTGTTTATATGATCCAAACGCATATTCATAACTCACATGAACATATGATACTATTACAGCATATGCAAAATCTGTCCAAATTTCTATAAAAAAACAAAGGATCGTAGTAAAGAAGTGATGTTTGTTATGGCCCAAGAGTATAGTTACTCACATAAAATTAAAGTTTTTATGGATTTCTATGAAATATATAAAAAAAAGTCAAACATAAAAAATACAGCTGGTTAAAACACCACATTATGATTTTACTATATTCTATGGTTAAAAACATATATGGTTTTAAACAAGGTGAAACCCATCCAAAAGATAAATGAGCGAGTGGAGCGTTTCTAAACTTCATTCAAAACTTCAAAAAAATGAGGATAGCGAGGAGTTCAAATCTGTATTCTTATAGATTTGGAGATATATGCATTCACCGATGTCAACTTTGCATGTTGTTCAGATTCTACACTATAGCATAACAATGTGCAATAACATTAGTACACTCTTCAGCATACTGTATAGTCTTTTGAGTTATATCTATATCTGTGCAAAGAATACTAATTGCTGTAAGCCTTAGAAAACAAGTAATGATATGCAAATGTAAAATGTCCATCATTTGACCAAAACCTTCTGTTTAAGTATATGCACTAAGACAGTTGTTTATTGTCATGCTATAGGAGCCTAGCTCCGTCTTACGCTCTTATGATTGGATGGGCTAATCATATCATTTAGGCCTTATAAAGGGCGGCTATGTAATGTGGCTAGGCGTTTTCTAATGGAGGAAGCAGGAGATGAATTCATCACAAGACCTGAAATGTCTCCATTCTGAAATATGTTCTAAACCATCGACACATATACATGATCATGGGTCCTCTTATACACGCTCTCTTCCTTTGTTACCTAGGTTGATTTGTTGACACTTCATGGCAAGTAAGAATATCAGGAGATATAATTTATTCCTAGTCAGAGCATGGATGCCGAATTGTTGTTTGCGTCCGATATATCAAACGGTGAATACTTAGAACTTTAATTGTGTGGAAGAGTGTTGGGACTGGTGTGTAGCTCAATACAACCGTCAAGGGACACCTAGTTAGCAACTTGACTGAAACAGATGTCGATAGAGCCATTCATAAAACGAGAATGTTGCACGGGTTTTAGTCTCTTTCACTATTTGGACCTTAAGCAGCAACATCAAGTTTCAAAATCATCAGCTGGAAAAATTGGTGAACGAGTGAAGATTTTGCCAACAACGCCCAGTCCAGTGCTCGCTTACGTATTCTTATGTCATCAATTCCTCACTGCACGAAGCCTTCTCAATCGAATGCAAAGTGCAACGAGCGCACTGATTCCCAACAGTTAGATGCAATCAGCAGATGCATTCAACTTCTTTAGTTGCAGGCCCCAAACATTCAGGACACGAGCTCCCAACTCCATGACTCGAAAGACAGAGGAGGTAGCTGCTCCTCTGTCTTTCGAGTCATGGAGTTGGGAGCCACCAAAACCACGCCAAAATGCCACACCCAAATGCCCACCGAGTTCTTATCGGGAATTTGAAGTTCCGCACATGATGAGATGAGATGAGATGAGATGGGGTTCCTTGTAATGAGTACAGGATGCCAGTATAGAACAGTCGTTCCTCTCTCAATGCAACCTCTTGCATGCCAATACCCTCTTCAAGTCTGATTGTAAATTCGGGAAAAATACTCGTGGCGCTCGTATTCACCTCTTATTCCCAAGGTCACTACGGACAGCTCCTCTGACTGCAAGTGCATTGCAAAATGAAACGGTGAGCATGGTGGGTCACCCTCGAGGTACTCTTCCCGGCAAAGTTGCACATAGAAAGTTCTCAGGTAAATACCAGAGCTGAGATCTCTCCAATTGCTATCGAGTTTCTATCGAGGTCCTATATTAACAAAAACCTCCGTCGAGTCCGACAGGGGATCAGAGTCCCAAGGGGTCGCGCTCTGGGAGAGTCCAAGTGTCACACATCGACGAGTCAACGGACGGTAGAGTCACCCCTGGGCAGTGGCAGTGGGAATGGGAATGGGAATGGGGAAGGGAATGGAATCAAGCTTGGGGATTGCTGACGGGGAGAACCGACCTCAGAGGCGAACGAGCAGAGCAGAGCGGAGCAGGGGCCATGGCAACTCTAGTCACCGGGAGGAGTGTGAGATTGAGCACTCCTGTCACGCACAACAGAGTTCACAGAGGAGGATTCAGCAGGGCCGGCAACAGTTCATCCGCGAGGGCTAGCGTCGTGCGGTCAGGGGCCGGGAATGTGCAATTGGTGCGAGACGATTTACTGGGTTTGATCGCCGGAGAAGAGCGCGGATTGCGCACCCAGAACAATGCCCGGAAGCGGGATGAGATTGTCAAGGCCATTGATGCTCTGGCGGAATTGGCCTCCGACACTGTCACCACTGACGAGTCCTTAACAGCCGCGTGGAGGATGTTGTGGACCACTGAGAAAGAGCAGCTGTTCATCGTCGAGAAGGCTCACATTTTCGGCACCGAAGCCGGTGACATCCTACAGGTCTGTTCGACGTAATGGAGAAGGTCCATTTGCGTGCGTCGTCGTGTAGATTCACTACCTCGATGCCTTTTATGTCTTGAAGCTGGGTCACAAATTGAGAAAATTCTCTGCTTATCTTCAGCAAGGGACGGTTGTCATCTTGCTTCTTTAGCATTTTTCCTTGCCTCATAAGGATCACCGATTGCACTCTTGATTCAAGCTTGGGATAGGAATGCCTCGAATTTCATCTGCAGTCACCTGCAGCTGGTGTGCTTTGTTATACCCTGAACCCACCCACCATCCTAGCTGTCCCTAGCATCCCCTATACTGTTTTGTTGACTTCTTTCTCCATGAGCAGATCAAATTTGGGAATTCCTCGTCGCTTCACCTCTCTTACATTTCTATGTACGTCGTCCTTGCCGATAAACCAGCCACAACATGTGGAAGGTCATCAGCGGATATTCCTTTCGGCACTCGAAGCATAAATGTCCCTGAGACCTAATTTCCAGATTTACTACGTTCTGATTTGGCGGGTCAAATGACCGTGAAACTTGTAGATAATTGCCTGTGAAGAGTGGGTTCTCGTACGCGTTTACGCTCTCAGGCACCAACTGACCTTCTGCTTCCAGAGGTACTAGGCAGTGTTCTTATGTCAGCCATGAGAGCATTTAACCCCCTACTTTCTGTACTAGATTGATCATTACATGTACAGTAGTGACTTAACCGAACTGACATTATTTTTCTGTTTCCTGCAGATTATCGACGTTGCAAAGAACAGTCTGAAGAATGTGATAACTTTCCCGCCAACAGGATTGTTTCTTGTGGATTCAAGTATCGAAGTTGTGTCTTCACAGCGGGTTAACTTCAAGTGAGTATCATCGGGACGCATCTGCTTTCCTCATTGTGACACTGCACTACAACGTTGAAGATCTTGTCTCGTAAATCACAATTCTATCAGATTTTATCTGTCTATGCCAGTGCAGGTGTGAGATTCAATTGTTGCAAATCTCCAAAATTAACCTGACAACCTCTTCGATGTAGGAGACTTGAAGCTTGATTCAATTTTGAGGGAAAGTTTGAACCATATTTTAAACATCTATCTCGATATTGTTAACTCGAATCACAACTGCAATGGATGGAAAAAAAACTTTGGAGCATCTAGCTGATGAGTTGGAATAGCGCCTGCGTTCATGTGGGTGGCCCCTGACTCGTGAGACTAATAAATGTATCTGATTTTCACAAGGTTCAACGGTGCGTCTCTCAAAGTTGGTGACCTGAGGATTCCTATACCTCCATTTGGACAAGGATGGTAAGGGAAAGAAAAGAGTCCTATTTGTTGCGTACGAACTTCGTCATGACTTTGAGTATTGTTTCTTTGCGACTATGTAGATAAGAAATCAAACAACTGATGAACGTGTTATCGTTGTCCAGGTTCGAATCAGTGTTTCTCGATGATAAGATAAGAGTCGCTAAGGACATTCGTGGAGATTATCTAGTCGTTGATCGAGCCTCCAGCATACCAGAGGGTCTGTAATCTAAATTTGTATATTAGTTCCCAAATTCATTTGTGAATATGTAAGTTGTCTGAGCGTTTTATTCGGGGTCAAAATGAGATGTATCCATCTTCCATGTGCATCTGCAAACGTTCAGGATTTTTTGAGAACAGATACACTGCACTGGATGTTTCGTCTCCAACTCCATGCGTTGGATATCGAATCTACTAATGTATCTTTGCTGCGGTAAATTATCTGAATGAATGGACGCCTTGAGAATGTGAACGAGATCTTCAGGGCCGTATGAGGCAATTTTAATACAGAAAGGTACGTACATCGACCAGAGACAGTTTCTCTCGCACATCAAGTGTCTCACGAGTTGCTGCAGTCCATCAAAGACATTTTTCATGTCTTTGCAATCTTTTTATTGCATTTTTTGACATATTAGCCCACTCAATTATAAAAATAACTGACAACTTTACTTTCGTAAGTTTTGAAGCTTACCATGAAGGCCCGCCCCTAACAGTTAACCATCCATTGATCGATGGGAGTGGTATTCGTCCTCGATCTCGAGCTGAAGGTTTTCTCTGACAGAAGTTCACTCACAGTAACGAAAGAACTTAGCGTCTCACCCGCTGTAATCAACATATCTTCTGAAATATGACCATGGAATTGCTCAACACAGGTCTTTCTAAGTTGTGCTTCTCCATGCGACCCGAGCTTGTGATGTTGCTACTATTCTATCCTGCACGTATGGTCCAGCTTTTTGACAACCAGACAACTGAGGCAGGAATGCGACACTTAAGGGTTTACCTTTCGTCAAGTTCCCAAATCACGCCCATGTCTTCTCAGTTTACTAGTGGCAACTGGATCTCTAGTTTCCTAAGTCTACTTGCACGTTGTCTCCTGAATGCTGAGACCTGTAATCTCTATTGTCGAATCCTGAAGTACTTATTGCATCGTAAAGGGAACGTTTAGCTCCCTTGACTGAGCTTCTAGTTTGTCTAGTTCTAATGGCTGATCTTGTTGCCAATTTCCTGGTAACTTGCATTCCAGTTTATGTACTAAAAACCATGTACATGAAAACTATGATAGACCAGCTCAGTCCTGAGTAACCAAGTTTAAATGCTCAGCAAAATCTGTTTCTTCAGAGTTTGTTGGCCTTCCTGCGCATGTCGGATTTGACGGATAGGGTCCGTCGACTAACTCGAGATCTTTCACATCTCTCGCATTGTACCAGTCGCCTACGCTCTGCGCAATCGTCTGTCCCCACATTGTTCAAATTCATATTAGCGATGGTTAGCGATGGCCGATGTAATTCAAAAACCACTTCTGTCATACAACCATCATGGATGAATTGTTGTGGAAGGGTAGGAAAGGGATTCATCTACCTTGTCATTAATCAAGAAGGTCTGGTGGCCGTTCCATCGAGCAGTGTCTGTTGCCATGCAATGAGCACTGCATGATATTACGAATTCTCCTCGTACAGCAGAATTTCCAGCTTCCAAAGCCCTGACCATGCTAAGTCTGAAGTCTGGAAAGGAAGGTGTATGGTTAGTACTAGGGGAAAGAGTAATTTCATCATCTATGATTTGCTCATTTCATGCTTGAAGATAATCTATCAATGTTATACGATAACTATACATATTCATCTCTTTTCATCTTTGAATCTTGCTCAATGGTTAGTATTTGTTTTATCTACATTCATCAAGCAAAGTGTGTTTGATTGTAATTTTTTGTTGCTTCTTGTTGTTATTTAATCTTTATCTTCGATTTTGATCTATATCAACTAAGAATGGCGAAAGAGTAATTCGTTAACAAGCATGGGATGCAGAGGATAACGGCAATTTACACTTTTCCGGACATACCTTGAAGCACTCCAAGCTGCTCGGAAGAGCAACTCCCAATGTCTTTAGTGCACCTCGTCCATGTGCCCGCGGGGTCTGCCGACTTCGGAGCGATGAGGTTTCCAATCTGTTCGCCATCCGCTCAAAACGCTCATTAGATCACCACCGACTCACCATAAGCAGCAGGTTGTGAAGTCATCTGATGAATTTACCATTGACATAATAGAACTGTTGTGACATAAACTTTCAATGAACACTTGTTCCAGTGTTGTACCTGCCAGTAATCCATGTCTGATTGAAGGATGTACAAAGGCGTTTGGACGTACGGTAAAGCGTTTTGAGCGAAGAAGCACTCCCATGCCTGGCATCAGTACACAAGCCGACACCAGAGTAATCAGATATTGTTGTACGCGAATGATCGTACTGAACTATCAGATGAGCTTGCCGAAACTGAAGCTGAGAAATTGCACTTACCAGAGATGGTTCCCTCGAGAACGTGCAACTTTTGTCCAAGGCAGGCATTACGTTCTGTAGTCGATAAACGAAAGAGGGACAAAAGTAGAGTGAGTGACGAAGAAACACAAAACTCTCTGACTCTGTGTACTACAGGAAAATTGCTTTCTGGTAAGTCATAACTGCACACGGCATGAACATGGAGAAGAGCTTAGACGTACATGTGTGATTGCAACGCCACGGAAAAGGTCGAGCGAAGTGACACCACCGCCAACATCTGGACTGCAAGAGTTAACAGGAGTGCAGTCTTAGGGCCTACAGTCACGAGAAAATCTTGCAATCGCGTCACACCGTGAAAGACTGCACTAACATAATGTGATCATTCACACAAACCAAGGCCAACAGCGAACTTGGAAGCCATGCCTTCGTATCGTGAGCTTACCTTCCCTGATGAAATCGTCCCACGATAATAGAAATATTTAAATGCAAAATGCAATGCATGCTTTTAAGGCGTAGAACCTGGAACTGGACCTGGATACAGTGTGACTGCGGACATTGCAGTAAGTGCTTGACAACTTACGTGTCTAGAAAGAAGCCGGCATCTGCCATACACTTGACCACCGAATTTCCAGGGAAAAGTGCTTTGAAGGAATCGCAATGAAGAATCGCCGTAAGACCCCCAGCCGAGCATCCGATGAGTAGAGCCTGGATCAAGCAAAACGCACCGGGTCATACACATGGTACTTCGGTTGCATTAAACCCAAACCTGCTGTCGTGCCTCCCTTCACACCGGTCCTATGAACTTCTTTACACTCCTACATTTGAAATAAATCTGCACGATCGTCCAATTATGTGCATGCTCATGAAGTAGGTACTCCCGTCCTCACGTTCAGCCCAATGCCTTTCTCTCTTTACTGAAGAAACGCTCTGCCCACCGAGGGGGGTCGCCCGAGCGAGTGATGATTGCACGCAAGCAGTTAGGCGTCAATAAATGTCACTGGGGCCTCCAGCGACGTTAGTATGGCAAGCGATGTTCATGTTCAGAAAGTGATCTCTGTGTCTGTCAGGTACACGAGGATTACGAAACCCAAAAGAAGAGGTGAGTGACAGTTGTGCCGCACCGCTTCGAGTGATTCCGTGGCTGCGTTCCATGCACACGAGAATAAAAATTCGGTATATGTGAATAGGCGAGCACCTACGGTAGCATAGTGTCGCCTACAGCAGGACTCTTCTAATTGGCACGCGCACCCACTTCTTTATTATTAGTCTTCTCGTCGAGATGGGAGGGCGAACGGTCTGTCTCTCTAGAAAACATGGTGATGACGGAAGCTCTCGAGTTCTTCCTAGTCCGAGTGCAGTCGGCCACACATACCTTTTCAGCTGTAGCCATGCCGATGCCCATGAGATCCTCCATTATCGCGTCCCAGACCCTCTGCCCCCTGAGGTAGATGGTTACGTCCTGCATAATCCCAGTGGTGAACTGCGTCAGCTCTGCAGACGATTCTTAGAAGTTGCAGGAATCATTAGAATTCCGAAAATTTTCCAATTCACGTGCCGTTTCGACGGAAGAAATGTGCACTGTCCGACTCCAAAGCTTCGAAAGAGCAACGTCAGAGATATTCAAGCTCAAGGCATTTACTGGGTCCCTTGAAACACACAGATACAGACAACTTCAATGCCTCTCTCTACGGATGCGACAGAGTCTGTGTGAGCATGGCACCTTGGAGACTACAACAGGCTCTTCTCTGTCGCCAAGAAACGAGGATCCATCGCAGTATCTTAACCAGGCGACATTCCAGTTGTAGAAGTCTGCAATCCACTCCAGCACGACACGAGGGGACGCGTGAGAAAAGGTAATTCATACGGTCTAAAGCAAGCGAAATTAAAAGATTGTACTCCTCGGGTCCGAACAAGGTCAAGAGACCAACAAACATCACGAGACAATTAGAGACAGAAGTTGAGAGTAGGACGACGGAGCATATCACATCAAACATGAGCCCAGGGTGTATGTCTGAATCAGGGGCATCGGGCTCGCTGTCAATACTGGCTAGCACTAGACTTCAACAATTTGCCTTGATAAACGCACCGGGATTCACGCCAGCGTTGCGACTGAGGATCCCCGAGTTCGGTAGAATTTCTCTCGTCGGGGAAAGGTTCGTAGACCCGAGGTACGTGTTGGCCCGGTTGGCACATTCTCTGATACTCTTACACCATCCACCTCCCTGGGAAACAGAAACAAACCACATCCACGATCATGGTGAATATGGAAAACGAAGCTGGAAGCTAGTAGTGAGAGGCAAGAGCATTAGCAAGAGTTTCTTATGTGTGTGTGTGTGTGTGTATACCCGGTGCATTGACAGCAGAGAGAAATTAATTACCTCGACGTAAACCATCCAGTTATTTACTCCGCCGCCAAATCCAGGAGAAATATAGTAACCCGGTGCAGACCCATCTATACAAACTGTCAATTCAAGTAGGCAATTCGGCACAAATTGTCAATGGTTCAGGTTCCGTTCTCTCGTTACAGTCATGAAATTTTTGAAACAATCAACAGCTACGTACTACCCTGATGATAAGCCGCAACGAACAACCGAACGAACTAAGCAACTAACTAGCATGTAGCACATATATCCATCACTAAATTGAATATCCACGGTGAGCTTTGGTGGATTTTATACCTGCTCCTCTCTCCTCTGCACCACTAATTAGCCTCAGCCCGGATGCCTGACTCTTGGCTACGTCCACACGTACAGCAAGCAATAGAAATAGCAACGAGCAGGAAGCCCGTAATCTCCCATGGTGCAGAAACCTGCTCATTGTGAACCAGCGACGCTTCCAGCAGAGAGTAAAGAGTCCGAGGGTGTGGAACCAAGTCCCTTCGAAGGAGCTCTAGATGGCCATCTTGGAAACTCAACAAAAATAATAGTAGCTCCGTGGACTCACCCGAGATCAGCAGAGAATAGAGGTCTGAGGAGACTAGGATACCTGTGAGATGACAGCAGTCACCCTCAGCGGCATGTGACCGCACAGACGACGATATTCAACACGACGCAAGAGCGTGCTGCTTCAGAAACAGTCTGGGTCTCAGACACAAAGACGTTGACGAGTATCTGCTCCAGGCGGCAACTTGAACATCAGCTCCTTCTGTGTGAGACCACCGGATTCCTCCTCCAATATATATATATACAGACAGGAATTGCCTGGCTTCCGAGCGGCGTTTAGAGTCTCCATGCCACAGACGAGGGAGCCGTAGGCTATACATGGAAAACCCCAGATGTTATAGCCTCATGCATCGGAAATCGGCAAAACTCACTTTTTATAGACTTCGCCCAAACATTCAGTCCGTATGGAATTATTGTCCACCGCCAGTCAATGCCCAGCCCAGCTCGTCCCGACCATGCTTGTGACCATCTTCCGCTTTTGCCACTGCGCATTCGAATGACAGCTCTGTCCATTCACGCAACTTCTCCCCTCCCCAAGTTCGCCTTATTTAGCACCTTGCACAACCGCAGTACACCCCTTTCCTAAAGCTCAGATGGATCTCACACCCGCACACAAACTCGGGGCCTGGTTAGCTCTACAGAACCATGGTCAGGTTAGTTGGGAGTACTCTTGAAGTGTATCCAGTTACTTGATCCTTGCATAAATCAAAGCTCCTATAATCAAATTGCCTCATCGGATATATCTCAAGTGTCTCGAGAGTTTAATTTTTGTAATAACATATTTTGCAGCGCTGTCCCTAATTAATTATTAATTATCTCAATTATTCTCATTGAAGATTTTCCTTTTTTTTCTGCTCTTTATTGGACCAAATCTTTGTTATAAAATTCGATAATTCCATACTCTAAAATTTTAGGCATTCCCCCTTGATGCCATCCCACGAACTAGGGGGGAATATGTTCGAGGTAGGGTTCAGATTTGCCAGAACCCAATGATTAGGCTGGAAGGAATCAATCACATGAACATGAAGAAGATAGTGTACCAAAGACGTACGTACGGAAGCCCAAGAATTGACATAGCAGGCAAGAAGCCCCAATAATACGCCGCATGTGACTTTAAGCCTTCAGGTATTTGACTAATCTTGGTTGGGTGTCCTGGGTGTACCGATCATCTGGTACCTGGTGCCTCTGTGCCAGCCACCAGTACTACAGGTTCTTGAGCTACTGCGCCAAATCCCAGACAGTACTCCGGACTTCCATTAAGTCCTACACAATGTTGGCCAATTCTGGAATTGACTAAATTCTGGACGGACACCCAGCCGTTCTTTTTAGCTTATTACAGCAACGGGGATCGTATTGCTCCTTTTCTCCTGGATCACAATGAGCTCGATGTGTAGCATACGGTTTGAATACTGTCGTGTTTGTGGTATTTGTGGACCAATACGAGGTATGGGAGGTCGGCTGAATTCCTTACAGCTGTAGTCCGAAAGTACGATCACCGTGAAAGTCGATCCAGGGGAGGCAATCATCAATACACGAACCGTGACTGGACCCCTGGCTCTCCCGACGACCTGGAACCGGAGAGTTGGAACGAAGTGGGGCAGGCGAATTGTGCAGTGAAGCGGACGTTGCCAAACTCTTGCTGCACCTCACGCTAGCTCACTCTCAAAAAGACCTTTATTAATCTTTTAAACAATTCTGCATTGTTTCCTGGTGTTTGCTTGGGTGAGAGCACTCGGAGCCTTCTGCAATATAAAGGTCACGATGTCAGGCATTTATTTCATCTTTTGGTCAAAAAGCGCACAGCTAGAAAATACCTTCTCTTACAGAAGTTGACTTAGCAGTGGACCTGTCTGGCTGCGTACACTTCACATGCATGACCTGCGTTCCAAAAATGTGGGGGCGGTGTTCAGACATTACGCTGAAAAGTCTGAAAGCTTGTTCGTTCTCATATAAACACTCTCTTCATTCGATTCTTCCCCATGTGACATCTTAGGCCTTCTATAACATGCCTGGTTATGCATAAATTACTTTGCAACAAGAAGTCTTCTTTGGGTTTAAAGTATCAAGTTATCGATATAAGATTCAGACTTGCAGTGCCTTTCTTGAAGCAAATCGTTTGATGGCATTACAAACTGGAAAGTTATAACTCGGCATCCAGATTGGTTGTTATGGATGCAGATTTAGCTTCACAGGTGAGAAAAATTTTTGACTTTTTCAATCCCGTATGCAAGGTGTTGACTTGGCCACGCAAAGCAGCCATCTACACCAAAGGGAAAATAGTATACTCATGCTATTTACAATAAAGTGCTTCATAAAAATAAAATTACATAATTCTCTATTGGCTACAATATGATCACCTTGAGTGATGATATAATTACACTAAGTTTTATATTAAGATTTAAGGCATTTTGAAACATACTTGAAATTATTACTTTTAAGTTTTATGATGTGGAATCTACTTTTTCTTTTTTACTTATTATTTGCAATAATTGTAATGAATAGGCAATGATAGTGTACACATTGGTACCAGATGAAACTTCATGTAACATGAGATTTATAGTTTTAAGATTCAATCATTTTTTAGAAGTTAGTGTCAACTAGTCATATTAATGCAGATGAAACCAACAGTGATACATATTTTCACCAGATTTCACGAATCCAAGACCAGTTAACCCGCATATAAGTGCTTACAATTCATCGAAATAAATGAAGTAATTCTGTCTAAAAGTACGTACCTCGGTAGCTTACTACTTTAATACTTATGAAACGCGGATTTATACCATCTGCAGCCTTCTAAAAAGATGAGCTGGAAGAATTGGATTCTATGCTTGTGACTGTTCTATTGTGAATTGTTTGTAGATCGACATGGACATATCTCACGTTTATACGGAGGGGCTGCGTCATGACCATGTGATTGCACATACAAACATCTTCACCAATTTTAATATATCTGGTTTGATCTTTCATTAGAAGTGTCAAAAACGAGAAACCATATTGTTGTAGGCATCCCCGTTTGTTGCCAAATTGGGTGGCTTTGATTTGGGGTCGAAGAGATTTTCAACCTTGACACTCCATCATGGAGTCTGCCATTGCAACCACGCACTGCACACTAGCTGCACCACACATAAATCCTGCCCGACCTTTGTCCACTTGGAGGCAAGAGTGATTAGTAACTCTCTATGCCAGAATTGATGTCAGCAAGGGGACATGACATTGGCTCATGCCCTCTTGCAGGAGTAAACAACCATCCCTCCCTCATTTCTCTTAACTCTCCTACGTGTAATCTGAAAGCTCGCTCCTCGCTTGTCACTCTCTCTCTCTCTCTCTCTCTCTCTCTTGTGGCCTCGATCTCTTTCCGACTCGGAGCCTATGCTTCCCTCTACTGGCCTTGTCAGTGACTATCGTTACCTGCCATCAAGCTTTGTCTCTTGCTGAAATTTGGAACCAACGGAGGTCATTTTCACCCCAACCCCAGATTCCCAAGTGGGACCCGACCACCATTGGCCGCAGCCACTTGCACCATATGTAGCACCTTTGCTGAAGCATCTGACATGCTTCATCAGGTAAATTCGAGAATGTTGCTCACTTATGGCAAGATTGTGATGCCTCAAACATCGTTCATCTCGTGCTGCATTGCGCTGCATGGTCCTTCTGGTTAACTATTCACGCGGTATACACTCATTTTTCCGAATAATCTCTACACACTTTTCTGGACTAAATAAATGAAGTCTCTGTCCAGGCTTCAACTGAAAAGACAAGGTTTGTAGGTGGATGAATGGTGTCTTCAACTGAGACAATTATCAGCAAGACGATTCATGTTGGATCCTGAAGAGGATATGCGTTGTACGACATCAACCTCGGAATCGACCACCGTGGCCTACGAGACAAGCATTAGATTCCAACGCAATCCCTCAAGTTACGGTCAAACCCTGACGAACAGCACACAGCCAACAATTTGGGGTTCTAACGATCACCGGTGCTAGGACAGCGTCACGGTGCTTTGGGGCCAGTTCAACTGCTTCCACAGTCACAATCACTGTGAAACTAGAACCGTGAGCTCTTGTCACAGTGGTCTCCCCCGGACGACCTGATCAGGACCGTAACGAAAAGCGCGCGCAGCTGCTTCCAACGAGAAGGGATGCTGAGATCAGCTCAGCTCAGCTCGGCTCGGCTCGAATCAGAACTGATGTGAAGTCGGGACGTGACCCGAGGGGAGTGGTTTGCGGAAAGCGTGAGGGCCAGTTGATGCGTGCAGTGGACCTCGAGACTGGCGTTATGGCCGTGCAGAGTTGCTGCTGGGGCATCATCGGAAGGGAGGAGGCAGCAGGACTGATAATGACACGAGAGCAGACCTTGGGCCGGTGGTCACTCCCTTCCCTTCCCTTCTCGTCCCGGGGCCCTCCCGGGACGTGACGGGCGCAAGGGGGAAGCCCTGTCACGGAATGAACTGGGGCAGGACGGAAGCTTTATCTTTGGATATGATCCGGATGATCCGATGGCGTGCTCGGTGACAAGACCGGGCAGTCACCAGTGAGTGCGCCCGGATCTAATATGGACCACAGTCGTCGACTCCCCGCCAGTTGCTTCGTCGATCCATGTAACCTCCCGCATGGACTGCATGTTCAGGGAGAGAGCTGCTTGCGTGGTGATTAGAGCCTCATCTGGGACGGCTGTTTTCTCCGAGGGAGGTCGCTCCGCAGCAACAGCGGTTGCAATTTGTGTTGGAACTCCGAGATCCCCGACAGGAACGAGGTAGCGACGATTGCCGACGACGTTGGTTTTTGCAGATTTGGAACCGGAGTCAAACCTCGTGGGCCCCCTTGAACGGCATGGTCGCTGGCGGCATTGAAAGTTGGGCATGCTGCGTCTGGATGATAATCCTAGACTATCCTATCCCATCTGTAAAGTTGTTGTTTACATCCCTTGAGCAGACCCCAAAATCGATGGCCGAGCTTCAGGATTCCGTGTCCAATGATAGCCATTGTAACGAAAATACGGTTTGTTGATAATGTAACGAAACTGTCTAATTTCCGAGGGCCTCCGAAGTGCAGGTCGATAACCTGAATTGGAGTCACTCATTTTGAACCGCTTGCTCAGATGCTGAAGTGCATTCTTGAAAAGGCACTAATTTTGTTCGCTGACGAGCATGACACGTGCACATTTGGTAGGGATGGCATTGTGTCATCTCGGGACCATGGCCAGGAAAGGTATGAGAGCCATGTAGCTCGACGTACCGTATTACAAATTCTTTTGGCTGGGCAAAGCGCGATTCAATAAGTATTGGAATCGGTAAAAAAAAAGGAAAAAAAAAATGCCTCAACTAGATCAATTTACGTATTTGACACAATTCGTTTGGTTATGCGTGTTTTATATGACTGTTGTTGTTGTTGGAGAGCTTGAGGTTCTATGATCACATTTCGGGTAACTCGATGCTCGATTAGGCCAGAAATCGTGGACTCTAACACCCGCTCATCGATGCATCTACTGCCATTCATGCTCTTCTGCTAGGCTTTTCTGGAGGGAGTGATTTGTTTCGTAGCGTGCTTGAGCAAAGCCTAGATCCGAATTGTGCTCGTGTCTACAAACGTGATAAGTACCAGGGCTTTTTCGATAAGAAGCCTGAGGGACCATCTATGTTGTGGAACGTGTAGCCTTTTCTACTACAGACCCACAGGCGTACACTCTATGCCTACTGCAATCGTCAGCCTGAAGGCATGCCATTCCTGCTCCCTTTCGAGTTATGCACTAGTTCGTGTCTTGAACCCCGAAGTTCCACTTGGTGACGATTCAAGGTCTCATCTTTCAGTTATGGATGATGCTCAATTCATGTACTACTCGCAAATCTGGGCGAAGTGCACGACACCCCCACTGCTCTCTCGTTGATCCTCGGCCTATACTAGATGCAGAATGCAGATAGTACAGATCAAATTACCAGAAGGCTGGCTATTTCGCAAAGACAGTCATGGCTAAAATTTTGTGTACAATTAGCTTCCATAAAACCATTGATTGGATTTGTCGACCATCAACATGATGGAGAGAGCTGATTATGTCGGTCACTGAAGTCTTAAATTGTCAGAGCCTGTTTGGGGACGATAAGTTCAGTCATCTTCATCTCACGTACAATTGGAAGGGAACAAACAAACGGTAGGTGAATATCAGGTCTCATTGCCCTGCCATGCAAGTTCTCCCTCAGTTTCTCAAATTTTAATGAAGGGAGTTGGAGAACAATCTGTTTGCCTGATTGCAATTCTAGAACGCTCGATGACAGCACTGAGGAAAGAGCAGTAGGCTGCACTGATCAGGAATCACACATAAAACACAAACCAATACTAGTCAGCCGTGCTGATTTCCGTCGACCAAAGCTTTGTTACCAGTAGAAAAGAACATGCTGATGTGTTCCAAGTGTACGAATGCACGAGAAGACTGTAACTTTCTGCTAAAAGTTGGGAAATAGGAGGACATAACTGAAGCACGGCTTTACGACATTTTAGACAGACTTCGTGTCTTTCCCAAAGTCTTACACTTCACCTGAGCTCCGAGTGAGGTGTAAGTAACTACTTTAAACCCTCGTCTTTTGACCGCAGTGGAAAAGACCCTCATGATTGTAAGATAGATATAAAGCCCTCACATATTCTCGACAACCTTAATTTGTACTTTCCACGTGTGGGAGAACAACACAACACAAGTGTGCTCGGAGTTTCACAAAATATCGAGTGCTGACACAGTTCATACGGCAGAATGGTATATGTAACAGATGACAATAAACTCATAGCAACTGTTGGACAACTTCGGGTACGAGTAAATCTTATCACTATCGTAGACTCCATAAACCTTTAGATCCAATCGAACAATTGAAGCAAAGCGTATGACGAGAGACGCCACGAGTGATCAGAAAATTGACTTCAGCCTAAAGCAAGGGTCCTTATCTCATAAGGATGGGCATCTTGTTGCAAAACCAAGGGATGATATCTAAGAGCAGCATTGTTTGAAGTTCCTCTGCAGCTCCAGGGTCTGAGAACACTTCGAGTTCTTCTTTATTTGCAGAACTTGAAATTAGCTTTCCTCTGCTCAAATAATGCCTTCCCACAACCAGTTCATGCTCTTAACAGAAGCTTGACTGAAATATCTCTTGTCAAGAGATCTTGAGCAAAGTATGGCACTAAACTCGATAACCAGAAGAGATAGATAGAAGCAGAATCTGAGAAGAAGACTTCGAGGAATTCCGAGCTGAACACAGGAATAGTTTTCCAAGTGGTGCGTGCTTGCTTGCTCTGCACCTGGCAACCATTTTGAGACAAAGAGATTCTCATGTCCACAGCAATTTCAAGTTTCTGATATAAAATAATAATCAGCCACGGAGTCACATAGCCAAGAATCTCTCTGCCTGTCCCTCCCTCGTCGCGATGTCTCGAGACCACACTCAGAAACAACTTCAATCACTCAAGATCACAGCAGGCAAGAAAAAGAGCTGGTAAGAAAACTATGATCTGGCCACCAAGGCGGAATCTAGCTTACCAGATCCCAATAAATGTGGGGCCGTGAGTATTGAATTAGTCAATCGCCACAGAAGAGGAATATTGAGAAGCCTGGGGAGGAGAGACTGGAAAGGTTTCTGCGCCTCGATGGGTAGTCCGTGTAGGATCTTTCTTTCCATGTATGCTTTCGTATGCTCTTTCATTGTCTATGCATTCCACGCATTTGGCTTTAGATTGAATCAAACTTTTCTTGTTCAAAAGCTAGCGGGCAATTAGTTCCGGGGCTTTAATTTACCTTAGAATGGCATGTCAGAGCTCTGTATCGGCAAAGACTCTAGCTATGGTCGCTGCATGCATGCATGCAGAGAATCTGCGATCCACATTTCTCAAACTTGACAACTGCGAAATTTGCTTTCGCGAAGTCTTCGGAATGACATCACAATTCCATCTTTCTCCACTGGACCATGTGCGGCTCTGAGTAATTTTTTATATAAATGTTCAATGGGAACACTGCTCAGATGTCCTCACGAAAATATTTTACGATGATTTATGACGAAGAATTTTTTTTTAACTATATTTTTTTTTCATGTAGTTCTGGGTATAGTATATTTAACAAAGTTTCCTGGAAATTCATTTAAAATTATGGACATTAGATATTAAATCTGCAACATGTGATCATCTAAACCCAACATAGTTTCGGTTTCAAGAAATTTTAGCACGATGGTAACGAAAGGGTGTCTTGATATGATCTGATATGTTTAATATCTAGATTTGCTTCTATCCACATTATTATCTCAGAGGAGGAGCCGGGTATGGATGAAAAGATGAGCGCATGGGTGAGAACCATGAAAAGAAGTAGAAGCGGAGCCAAGAGAACCCAGCGTGGAGGAAAAGCTCAAGATATGGGTACAGATCTCTCTCTACTGTCTCGTGGTTGCAAATGTCATGTCTATGTTAACTGTACACTCATCATCCTGATTGTAATAGGCGTTTAGAGTTTTCGGCGCCTACATCAACTAAAATAATTCTTCTGAGGCGCCTAAATTAAGGCCCCGGAGACTGCTCTTAAATGAAGGTCCTCGAGACCATTGCCATACCTTAATGAACCTCTTAATTCTAAATGACTCTTAATTCTTGTGAGGCGCCTAAATTAAGGCCCTAGAACAGAGAAAACATATAGTGTCAACCAAAAGTTGGCCGGTTTTGAAGTCCTAGACACTGAAAAAGCTGTTGTGGAAGTAGTATGTCCTGGAGTCATTTCATGCGCCTACATCCTTGCTTATACAGTTCAATCGAGTTACTCGCACTTCATGCCTGAGAAAAAACTGGCATCCACCAGCAGCTGAGTGCACCAGTCTGAATTATAACACTAAATTAAGGCCCTCGAGATAGCTACTAAATTAAGGCTCTTGAGACCATGATCATAGCCCGATTAGATTGTTCCCGTCACAAGATTAGATTGTTCACGTCACAAGTTTAATGTCGAAGAACAAACGCAACTCTGCCTATGTCAAGACCAATGATGCTAAATATGGTTTGAAAGTGGTCTCGCGATGTGCTTCTACTTCAGCCGTCAGCGGGTTGCAGTGTATTTTCTGCATTATGTTAAGTTGTGAGGAGAATGTTGGTGCAAAGCGCAAGATCACAACCAACGTGCAAGGTTGGAGTGCACCATTTCCTACGACAACATTGAGCTACACATGAAAAAGCAGCACACTCTCAGATTTGGACAGTATGAAAAGCTACGATCAAAAGCGGAGCAAGAACATTTCTTTGATGACGCCGAGTTCCCTTTTAGAAGCATTCTCATAGCTCACTTTGTCTCTGAAGCTGCAGGCAATCGTGAGATAGTCTTCATCATAAACAAAGGCATAGAAGCATTCTTAAAGCTCACTTTGTCTCTGAAGCTGAAGGCAATCGTGAGATAGTCTTCATCATAAACAAAGGCATAGTTGAAGTAATCGTCAATGAGATGTTGTGGAGGATGAGGTCAGTGATGTTGACGATGACGATGAGCAAGAGTCTGCATTTGAAAGTGAGGCTTAACGTGCAATTGTGATCGCTAACCGTCATGTCAGTGCTGTGAAGACGAAGGAGTGAGCACTGGCACTTTTCAGACGCAGTGAGCCAGTTGATAATGATGACAAAATGTACTCTTTCTATACTCTCACAATTGCAAAATCTAAAACTCAGCTCTTCAACCTTGACATTCGATATGTCGCGTGTGGAGCATCTTTCCGCATGACAACAAATATTATCGGTGAGACATATCAAGTCCTATCTGCTCCATCGCTGCGTTCTTGCTCTCGTGAGAATGTCAGCAGCTTTGTAAGGGTAGTTTGTAAGGGTAGTTTGTGTTACCAACTTTCAACGTTTATCTAAGTTGCTGAAGAAAACTTGGACTTTTTCGTTAGCATTGAACTCAGAATCGCAGTAGAGCACATCTTATTTGGATGTTCGTCTTTGTGTGTATGTGAAGAATAAGCGCGGATGCGCACTGCCAATTTTTGAACGACACACAAGCGAAGTCATGTTCAACATGATTTCATATTCAATATTGAATTTCATATTTCCCCTGACGCATATCATTAGGGGTCGCTATGCTCTAACACTTCTGAACGTGCAAGAATTTGTTGTAGGACTTGCATCATGGGTTGAAGGCATTCTAGACACTACAAATGAGATGGAGTGTAAGGAGGTGTTGCAAGATGTTGGTCTAATCTTCGTTGAAGCATGTGCTCGCATTGAGAATATCGTTGTGCAGCGTGATGTAGACAACAACCCATTTGTAGATTCACTCGCTCTACCACTTGTTTTACCGCAAGAGCTTGTTCGCGCTTCCGCTGCTGACTTCATTCGCAAGGCTCGTAGATTGAGCTTTTGCCTGCAGCATCGATATTCGGCGACACAAATAGACATCATTGCTGACGAGCATAAAGCTCTTCTTTGAGCTTACCGCAATAAGTCTGTGCTGCAGGACAGTATAGATGACTGTAACCAGAAGACATCATTTGACAATGCTTGGACTTTACTTAGTGCTTGATTTCCAAGCTTGGTTGAGTTTTGCGGTGGCATTGCAACTATATTTCTTGGCACAAGTTGAGTGGAATCTGACTTCTCGGTTCTGAGGTGGGAGAAAGGTGATCACCGCAAGAGTCTTTTAGACTTTGGACTTGAAGGTGTGCTACAGGCGAAGCAGTATATGCAGATTGAGTCACTTGCAGATTGTGATAGTTGAGGAGCGACCTCACATCTTGATTACCTATCAATCTATTGATTGATAATACACATCTTGTCGCACGAATAAAAGTTCCAATAGTCATGCATTGTCTCTCGTACTCTCTCGATAGAATCCTGAGCTTTGTGTATCTCGTCCTTTCTCGATGGAATCTTGAGCTTTTTTGTCTGTGGGATCCGCATGTGAGTGAGCAGTCGATTTACGCGACAGCAATTTTTTACCCTCGTTGCAGCTGCTTTGTGGATTTTCTCCACTGCTCTCGATTGCCACCGAACTCCGAGACATGAATGTTCAGTCGAGCTCAAAGCTCGCTAGATTGTTGTATGGAGCTTGTACATGTGTTGCATTTTGCACATTGTACGTGTTTCGCGTTTCTTAGATGAATGGGGTTGTTATCCCACTATCAAATTTTAGAGAGTTTTGGACCACAGAGATCGCTTAGCCCTCGATGAATCGTATCTCGGCGACAGTAGGTGGGGAGTCTGTCAGCACATGATATAATGTATAGAAGGATGCGGAGCGCTACTCATTCTGGTGCAACTCAAGCACGTTTCGGCTAGAATGTACTTGCCTCATACCGATTGCTTGTAAGTTTGAGGTAGGGAGTGAGAGGGACAAATTTCCAATTCTCGTATATTGGTCTTCAACCTCGACTAAATGTGCTACCGCCTAAATTAAGTCTAAACGACGACTATATTAAGCTAATTTAGGCAATTCAGGCGATCGCCTATTATAAGCAGGCCTCCTCATCATCCATTATGAAGGTATAAATATGATAATTAAATACTTGAAGAATCAATTCTTAAGTAAAAAAGTATCCAAATTGAATTTAGCACTATTAAAATGTGGATAAATAAGGCACACAAACATTGTAATTAATTAATTATATATATATATATAGAAGTTGAATTTCAACATAATCGTTTATGTCCAATCATACCAATTTCGTAATGTATTATTATTTATGTTTTGTGTTCATACTACAGTGCGCATCAATGTGTACATATGATAAAATATATATTATTTTGATTATATTTATAAATTTCCTTATAATAATAGATATAATAAATAAATAATTCTATTGCAATAAATGAATTGAACAAGGTTTTTATAAGTATCTAACTTAGTCTAACATCAAATATAGGTTGATGCCTATGATTATGTAAATAGCATAGCTAAAAAAGAACTATGTTGGCTCCCTCTCATTACAATGAATGTCATCAACTCTTGTTGGTGCTAGTACATGCTTATCGTATTTGTTTCCATAGATAATCACACATCTCAAAAATATGGATGAATCAACTTTTGGTTGCACTACAAGCTTGAACTTTGTCATAGTTGACTTGATTGTATAAAACTAATGCATATCCACATCAAATGCAGTTTTTGAGATGTTTACAATATCATGGAGTGTTGTAAAGTTGAAAGGAAGTTTGTCCACCATAGATTTGAAGAATGCAAGATACTATTGTCAATCTACATTATTGCCACATCTTCATATATTCTCTCCCTTCACTATCAGATTCACATGAAAAGTGTTTCGTAACTGATCAAATTTCATTCTATTGATATTTTGACCAAATATATTTTCTTTTTTAATTTATTATCTAATTTCAATTATAAGTTTCTTACGATTCTTCTCTATAAGGAAATAAGCTATTCATGATTAAGTTTTTAAAATCTACTTTACAAAAATTATGATCTAACATTGCATCACACATTAACATGTTGATCCATGGATATCAAAATCACCACGTATTTCGCTTCTTCCTTTTTTGATGATTTTAGATCTTCTAAAAAAATTATTTTTCTGAAACCTTCAATTTGAAAATTTTTACAAGTAGATGACTATGACAGCGAATTCTATGTTAATTTCAATAGGACTCTGACAAATCATTCAAAATTTGAACATAATCTGTATGTGAAATTTTTTTAACTTGTATATTTGCCTTGTTGGTTTGAAAGTAAGAAATAAAGACTTATAGTGATGTAGGATAAGACTAAGAGTTTATATACTTTACATTTTTCATAATTTGAACTGTAAATTAAAAGTATAGATAATCAAAAAATCTCTAAATGCCATGGAAGTTGTTCACATCTTTTCTTACGTGAAATTTGCAAAAAAAAATTCTCAAGCTTGCAAAATTTCTTTAAAATTTACAAAAAAATCTCTATTTTACAAATGTGCATACATTGATAAACAATTCACAATAAATGAAAATTAAATATTTGTTTTTTTCCATTTATATGTGATATTTGTGTGTTTTTTATACATTTGAAATTAATATTAAGCTATTATTATCATATAAATAATAAATTATTCAATTTTTAATTGAATAATTTATTATTTAAATAAAGTGAATCTTATTGTTAACAATGATGATTCAAATAACATATCCCATCAAGCTTTATTTGTCACTTCAAAACATTCAACAAAGTTTTTAATGAATCTGAAAGGTTTAAAGTAGATCTTGCATTGTGTTACAATTACATTGCGTGCTAATTTAAGCAGTTTTTACTTCAAAACCTGTAAAATGATCAATAATGACACCAACATATCAGTTCATTGAATTAAAACTCAAAAATTTCTAACTGGAAGTTTAAGAAATTAGGAGTCATCACAATTTGCTAACTCACAAGGAATCAAAACTTGCGATCATCATGAGCATTTATCTATTCTAATTATTCAAAAATATAATATCAAGCATAAGATATTTATATTATTAATTGGCATTACATATGATGAATGCTATTAGATATAAAAAATTATCTAATAATAAGCAATCGATGTTTTATGTCATAGCCACTGTGTACAACAACTTTGTAATAGTAAACTGCTATTCTGCACTTGGAAATACTTTCTTCAAATTCTATTTTTTGATTTTCAAATTTCTATGTACATTATAATTTCACACAAAAATGCTACATACGTTTCATGCAATGACAAGCTTTGACTGAAGTAGTTGACATTACATCATGACATCTTCTAGAAAGTGATATAACTAAAAACATGTAAATACGAGATCAACCTTAACATGTAAAGATTGAATAAGAAAATTTTGTGTATATAGAAATACTAAAAAAATTTAAAAAAAAATTGAAGTTAAATGAATATGGGATTAACTTGAGAGTCCAACCTATAGAGATTTGTAACTTAAATTCGGTGCAAGTTCTAAAATATTTATGAAAAATCTTATTTGAAAGCATAATAATCTAAATTTTATTAAAGTTAAAAGCTAGTTGAATACAAATTCTAACATGAAAGAGCAACATAAAGAAATTAAAATCTATAAGCTTTGGAAAAATTTAATGTAAAAAGATTGAAAAAAAACATGGCAGATCTCTTTTGATTAATAAATAGATGAATATAAGCTAAGTTTGAAATTTTAAGACGTGAAAACTGAATCCATCAATTTCATGCATAATTTAAAAAACGATATAGGAAATTTTTTTGAAGAAAGATTAAACACAATTTTTTTAATCTTGTTACTTTTTGTATGTAAGGCTGATAATGTTTTTCACGAAATATCAATATTTTTTTACATATTTCATGTCTAAAATATCTCAGTTCTTCAAAAATGTTCCTATGAGGATAGTTATAAGCTTTATATACAAATATAATGAAAAATTAAGAATAAAAATAATATTAAAATAAAATAATTATAAATAAAATAAATTATAATGCTGAATAATTTTATTTTCATTTAAAATGAATCAGATTTCTATATGTTATAATTTTTACCTTTTTTTACAAAATAGATCCTTACTAGTGGATCTTATTTTCAAAAAAAATAAAAAATAAAAAGCTATAACAATATGGAATTTTTTTAAAAATGATGTTTATTTCAAGCACTTATTAAAGGAGAGAAAATCTTAAATATCTCAATTCACTTTTTTTTTATTGAAATGAATGACTTTTTTGACTATTATATGAACTTGTTATTATCATATGAAGATAGATTCTACATAATTTTACGATTCGATGTTTTATAATAGAAACTCCAGTAGAATTAAAATTTACGATATTCTGCAGGAAACAATGAAAAGTGTGATACCAAGGTTTAAGTTGTAAGATGTGAGTTCAATCTAATCGTGGATTTTCCAGTATTTTTCTTACAGAATCTGTACTGGAGTATATTATGTCAATAGAAGTAGAAATAGTTGTTATTGTATATTTAAAACATATATTTGCCATAATAATTATTTATGAAAGCCTCATATTGTGAGAATTTCGTGGACTATGGATTGTAGAAACTTTTTTTGGGTGATTTTTTTGGTGATTTTTTGATTATTCTCGGTTGGTGTCCTCCAAGAAGTGTTGGTTTTAATGATAGAGGATGTAGATTATATTTGAAGCCTGTGAAGGTTTGTGTTCATAACATTATTTGAATAATGTTAAGAGCTAGTAATGACCATATAATAAATAAAGTAAGTAAGTAATAGTACAAATAAGATCTTAAAGTTCATATTGTTAAAGTTCACATCCTAGTTACAAATAATACAACTTACGTAATAAATATAACTCTTCATCTTTGTGATGTTTTAATTAGACAGATTTTTTTCCCAAATTTTAGATTTATAAGTGAATTTGACTTTATCTGAACTATGAAGTTTCCATGAAGCATTGAAAAATTTCACGAATTTTTTTTGTTCGATCATAAGTAAAGTAATCCTTCTCCGTGTGAACTTTGAAGAGTTCTATTTGGAGCCCCTTGTGCTAACATCAGCGTCCCAAAAACCATGAAGTTTTGAGTATCTTCGTTTAGCAATGCAAATGTGCACACTTTGGACTCCTTTGCACTTCTTTGGCAATCCTCGAATGCACCGGGGGAATGGGGGCTGGCCGACGGATCGTATATTCCCGAGGCGCCTACGCCACTTGTGGTGTACTGGACGCAGTCTAAAAAAATTATGGTGGGCCTGGAGGAGGAAAAGCCTCTGATCTGGGTGTGCAGGGCCTTAAACCCTAACTGCGGGGTTTTGCAACGGAGCTGGCCCAAGCTCTGCAGCCCTCCGGAGAATCCGAACGAGAATTTGTGCAATTGACAGAGGATTTGGCAGCACTGGTGCTGGACTTCCGTGCCGGAGACATCCGCTGGCGGAGCTGTAGTGTCCGCTGATCTCATTTACGAGCTCGGAAGAGCAATTGGGAATTATGCAGTGAGCTCGTGAGCGCAGGGATGGGGATTTTTGAGCCCTTCAGGGCTCTTGGGTACGTCACCGACGGGACACCCTTCTCGGTGCAGCGCAGAGGCTTAGAGAATTATGTGACTGTCAGTGTTGGAAAATCCTGGCAAATATACAATGTGAGTATTGTTGCTCCTCGGACCATGTTTGCTAAAGTGCTGGAGTGATTCGTCTGTGAGTTTTCCTCTTCCGAGTAGAGGTCTCTTTTTAACGAGTGCTGTTTTTCATGGGCGTAACTTTATCATCATTTAAGGGAAGCACTCGCTTATAACCTGTTTTATGTTGGTTCGCAGTGCGCGAAGATTTCCCTCCTGTTTGTTGGTAAGAAAAAAACTACCTTATCTTTCAATATCAGAGAATTGTCAGAAAGTGCAGATCAACTGCTGCCGAGCGTATTGTCGTCGAAGTCTTCTGCATTTTGTACATTTGAGATTCGTCTCACATTTTATTAACAATGTAGATTTTGTGCAAATAATGGGTGCAGGCCCGCAATTAGAAAGGAAGATTCGTGCGCTTGCTTCTTGGCGTGATTACACATATGTTGCCACCGGACAGAGCATCGTCGTCTTTAACAGGACCCGTCAAGTAAAATCCTATCTCAGCTTTTGCTTTGCCCTCAAAATATATTTGAGTTGTGTGGTAATTGTGCAACTCAGCATCAGTAATGGGACTCGTGCAAGCTTTACTCATTCTGTGTAAGCTGGTCTCGAATTACGAACACGCTTATGGTTCGGAGTTACCGCATCGTGAATTGTCTGTGCTTTCTCAGACTAGAATTCTTCAGTCTCGTCTACAAGTCAAGTGTTTTTAAAATTTGGTGTATGCACACAGGTATCGATATGGAATGGGCACACAGGCAAAGTAATTTTGCTCCTGGCTTTCGGAAAGCATATTCTAAGCATTGGAACAGAGGGTCGCCTTCTCATATGGCCCGTGATTGAGGAAGATCCTACTGCTCCGGTGGTACCTGTAGGAAGCATACAGTTCCGACAGTCCTTCACGCCTACTTGTATTGTGCACCCAGATACCTACCTCAACAAGGTAGGATACACTATTGAGCATTTTCTTACCTTGCCACTTGCCAGGAATGAGGTGTCGGGCGAACATAATTCGAAGTCTTATTGTGTTGCAGGTTCTCATTGGCAGTGAAGAAGGTGCGCTACAATTATGGAATATAAGCTCTCAAAAGATGATTTACGAGTTCAAAGGCTGGGGCTCTCCTGTACGCTCTTGTGTTACATCCCCTGCTCTGGATGTAGTTGGCGTCGGTTGTGCCGATGGAAAGATCCACTTACATAATCTTAAATATGACGAAACTGTCGTCACATTTACTCACACCACGAGGGGTCCTGTAACCGCCCTCTCCTTCAGAACTGGTATACAGACTTTGACCATGACCCGGCAAATCCGTATTTTTAAGTTGTATCGAGACATCTGTTCACTTTTGCACTGTAATCCCTGTTAACTTCGTCGAGTTTAACTATTTCCAGATACTCCGAGATAAGCATACACACAGGTGCTGGTTTTGCTCCAAGAAATTAATTGGTATTGAATCTTTTGGCGTATGTATCTCAGATGGACAGCCGTTTTTAGCAGCCGGTGGATCGTCTGGCGTTATAAGTATATGGGATCTTCAGAAGCGGAAATTGCAAGCGGTTATAAAGGATGCTCATGACGGAACAGTTTCATCTCTGCAATTCTTTGCTAATGAGCCGGTTCTCCTCAGTGGTAGTGTTGACAATTCTCTCAAGGTTGGCCTTCAACATTTTTCCTTCTCGTCATGCCATCTTTGATTTAGTACACAATGGCATGTTTCGCTGTGTCCTGGTCAGGTTTGCTGATCGAGACCACTTGTTTGAATGTGGAATGAATCCAGATGTGGATTTTTGACAGTAGTGATGGGGAAGCACGTCTTTTGCGATTCCGAAATGGTCATAGTGCTCCTCCCACAAGTATAAGGTTTGCACTCACCGAAACTCGTCTGCTGTGTGACCTTCTACTTGATGTTAACTTAAACAGTATGTAAACGAATCACAGAGGATCGACAGAGGATCGAATTCCTTTTCTAACGAAGTCTAATCACCGCATCAAACTCCTTTCCCTCCAATGCTATTTCTCTTATTTTTGACTCCTTTATTGCAGATATTATGGCAATGGTCAAAATCTGCTCTCTGCTGGGCTGGACAGATCATTTCGATTTTTCTCAACAATTCAGGTATGCCTTCGTGTTTCTCACATTTGGATTGCACTCCATCTACATCAGTATCTGAAGTCTCCATTATGTTCAAATGTCATCCGTTTACTCTGAATAGCATAGTAACTTGCAATTTGTAATTATGTCTTGCAGGATCAGCAAAGTCGCGAATTATCCCAAGGACATGTCGCCAAGCGAGCCAAAAAGCTCAAGCTGAAGGTTCACTCATTGCCCTTATCACTCCTTGATAATTTGATGAAAATACAACCTTTATGTTTTGTGTTCAATATCGTGTTGTAATTTGACTGAAATATCGGCTGAGCTGAAGATAATTGATTGGTCCAGGAGGAGGAGTTAAAGCTTCCACCTGTTGTCGGATTCGCAGCCGGTAAACTACTCTGAACTCTTTCTTTCTATCACAGTGTATTACATTTGCAAAATTTGAAAGGACAATATCGGGGGGTAAAGTTCTCAGGAGCAGTCTTACACATCACATATCTGCTTGTGAAATATCTCTTCTTAAGTCTTGAACGATTTGAGAGGTCGTCGAAGTTATTTGCAGTGCAGTTAGTCATTCTGACAGAAATATGTTGCAGCTGAGATCCGAGAACGAGATTGGTGCAATGTAGTGACATGCCACATGGATCACAATGTTGCCTACTCATGGCGGCTGCAAAACTTTGTTATCGGAGAACATGTTTTGAAACCTATTCCTGAGAATCCGACAGCTGTCAAGGTGCGTGTATGTTGAACGCATGTTTTCGAAACCGGGATTACTTGGTCAGGATGAGATTGAAGAGGAAAGGCATGATAGAATTATAGTAGGCGAAGTTTAAGGATATCTTCCTCTCTTCCGTTTTTAATCATCAACCGCCGCTTGACTTTGGCATCGAGTGGAACCAGCATGACATGGTTCCTTCGAGGGCTTTTGTGGTCTATATGTTGTAAGATTCTGCACAAAAGTGAGAAAACTGGATAGTGTCTAACGGCTTCTTTGTCACTGTCCGCAGGCATGTGCTCTTAGTGCATGTGGAAATTTCGCAGTGGTTGGAACAGAAGGAGGGTTTATCGAACGTTTCAATTTACAGTCGGGTCAAAGCCGAGGTACCTATGGCGACTCATCCCTAGAAGGCTCACCTGCCCATGCTGGCCCTGTAATTGGTCTGGCATGTGATGCCACAAATACGTTAATGCTCAGTGGAGGACATGATGGAAACATAAAGGTACACCTTACTTCCTTTAAAGTCTGATGATTCCTGTTCATGGAGCCTGTTTGACTCTGTCCCCAATCAATTTGTTCGTCTTTAGTTTGTCTTCCCTTTCTTGAGCCTTTTCGCGTTTTTCAAAACACATCCGGGATTTGTATGTAATGAGACTCTGGATTAAATGGCAAGAAATCGTTGCCGTGAGTTTTTAGCCAATTGTGATGCACTGTACACAGGTATGGGACTTCAGGACCAGGGGACTTCAGTCTACGATTTCTGTTGGCTCGCCCCTTGTAAAACTCGCACATCATCCTGCCAATGGTTGGTTCGTCAACTTTCTTTCTTTGTTATTTCACGAGCTTCAGGGTGCAATGCTTTTAACTGTTTCGAAAATGTGTTGGAAGATGACCATTATTTCATGTATCTTTGTAGTGCCATGCCGCGCGGAACAGAGGCCAAAGTGCATTTAGCTTTTTGATGTTTTCTTGCTATGTGAGGAAGTCGATACTTGCAATAACCCTTTATACAGAACACTATATTTCAATATTAGCCTTATCATGGTGGGTTCGCATCGGTAGATTTGACCTTCGATCTATTTCCATGTTTATATTCATGGCAGATTAATTTATTCTAGACTGTATCATGCAGATTGTGCATTGTTTTTCTTGTTTCTAAAAGTACTACATGCAGAGTGCACAATGGAGCTGTGTTTGATGTACGATGTACATAGCTGTTTCTTTGATCCCAATGCTTTGTCATCGTCGTCTCTGACACGCTAAAGACGGGTGGGCATGTGTGATTTTCTAGGTTTATTAGCAGTTGCTTCGGTGGACAAAGTGATACGTCTGTATGATGTAGTAGCCGCGAGACTAGTACGAGTCTTTGATGGCCACAGTGATCGCATCAATGACATCTCCTTCAGCGAGGATGGAAAGTTGCTTATCTCATCTTCCATGGATCAAACTGTGCGAGTTTGGGACGTTGTAGCTGCCAAACCATTGGATGCTATGCATGTTGATGCTGCTGTTACAGCACTTTCTCTTTCTCCCAACATGGACATGCTGGCAACGGCCCATGTCAACCGGAATGGCATTTACCTATGGTCAGATACACAGCTGACTTCATTAAGACGACTTTCAGGACGCATTTTTTTCGCGGTTTTGAGAAGTGAATAGTCTTGTGTGTTCTCTGAACAATAAGTTGCAGCCATTGATTCATATCATTCATATATTCATATCTTCTTCCTAATCATTTGGTTCTTGTCATGCCGTTATACAGGTCCAACCGACTTATATACTCTGGCAGTGATGTCGAACTTCGTGGGAGCGGGAACTCTGTTGTGCACACACCCATGCCCACTGTTTCATCTCACGAGAAAGTAGGACTGGAAAATGGTACTTCAGTTGCCATTGCGGATGTATCGAATTTGAAAGCGGGTGGAGACCCTTTCCAGAACGATGTGCCTAAAGAAACCACTCAGATACTGCCAACCTTGATCACTCTGTCAATGCTTCCGAAGTCGCAGTGGCAGGGCCTTGTGGACCTAGATCTTATCAAGGTAAATTATCTACAGTGATGTGAATTGACTGGCCGGTTTCATACTGGCCCCATTTTGAATTCAGATTGAGGAAAGTTGTTCTTTTCGGGCTTATAAATGTGGAAGCGAAATTGAAAATTGTCCTTCATCCAGGTTTGTCGGATGATGGACAGCAAGTGTATGATTGCGTGGGTTTTACTAGAAATATAACCGCTGATAATATCGGAACTTTGTTCATTCGTTCAGGTACGGAACAAGCCAACAGAGCCACCGAAAAAACCAGAAAAGGCCCCCTTTTTCTTGCCAACGTTGCCTTCATTATCTGCGGAGCCTGTCTTTGTACCTGAAAAGAAGGCTGGAGGAGAGTTGGACTCAAAGACCACGTCACATCTAATGAAGAGGCAACGGGATGGCGAATATCTGTCGCAATTTACACACAGTCTCCATACCTGTGCCGAGAGCAAAAATTGTAATCACCTGGACCTCTTCTGGTTTCATGGATTCCTAGCAGATGAATTGACTCCAGAGTCTTTTCCTGACTCGTCAATTGTTTGTTCAAATATCGATCTGCACGCGAGGTTTCTTCGGCAAATTTCTCGTGTGCTATTATATTGGCGTCTATCTTCTGGCAGTACGGCATGTGTTGCTAACTGAACTTTTCCATGGGTGATATCGCAGATGCGGATTTTGTGGCTCTGATGAAAAGCATGTCACCGTCGGCCTTGGATGCCGAGTTTAGAATGTTGCAGCTAGTAGATGAAGAGGACGAGAATGAAGATGAAGATGGTGAGCGGAGCAAGGAGCTGGTTGATATAGGACTACTAATGGATTTTTTTGCACATGAAACGAAAGCCAACAAGGAATTCGAGTTTTTGCAGGCCTTAATTCAGTTATTTTTAAAGGTAATGTACATCTTGCCCTTCCTCTTCTGTAGATTACTTCTTGATGATTATCAGACGCGTGTCGAGTTTTGTTTGCGATTCCATGACCTTCCGGAGAGATAATCAGTTTTTATAAGTCCACCAGCATCTTCTTTTGACTCATGCCGTCGAGTTTAATTTCTGCAGTTAGTGAGCAACAGCAAGTAACGAAAACCTTATCGTCATCGTACTTGTTATCTGGCAGGTACATGGGGAGACCATAATTAGAAAACCTCTGTTGCAAGAGAAAGCGAGAAAGCTTCATAGCATGCAGTCTCATGCGTGGCAGAGATTGGATTCAACGTTCCAAAGATTACGTTGTACCGTTGCATTTTTGTCTAATGCGCAGTTGTGAGAAATATATCTGTAAAGCGGGAAAATAAGATACATCAGTGTCCTTTGGGTCTCTGTCCATGTTTCTGTTGTGTTTGGTGGGGTTGAGCTTCTACTCTACTCCATGCACTGCCGTTACCTCATCCATACCGCACCTTGGTGATGTGGGAAGGTCCTTACCGAGCAAGCCAAACTATCAAAACAGTAGGGTCGGCTCAGCCTCGTTCGCTTTCCTTGTTCAGGAAACTTGTAAATCGATGTACAAACCACCGTACAGACTATATTCCCGGGAAGGGATTCGGTGCACGTGCAGAACAACGTTGACCCCACGGCACGTTATTCAGTTTTCTCATCGACCCGATTCTTTCAGTTGTTTCTTGCCCTTCATGCCAGAAGCAGTGACATCAGGCTTGATATTCCGGGTCACCGCCTTCTTGTAGATTGTATATATACGCCTCCCATGATTTTTGAGGAGTTCTTTTACAGGACTTCAGCATTGTGCCTGTATTCGCAAGCTTGTCACATCTTTCATGACTCGCAGGACTGTACTCTTTGATAGCCAATGACAGAATAGAGATTACCACCTTACAGGTGGAAATCAGGGTGCACACAGGCCCTATCCAGTTATGATGATATTTTTTCATCAGCATCTATGAAACAGTTGGGAAATACAGGTCTGGCCGTTAGACTCTTACCCTTCCTTTACAATCGCAAAGACTGACACTTAGTCTTCTTTAGATACCAAAGGTGCAGCCGTCGAATGCAATGTCGAATCTTACCTGGTGACTGATGCCTTTTGCGGCAGCAGTCAACCTGATACGTAGGCTCTATGACTACGGACACTACAATGCGGTGCATGAACCTGAGTTCGCCACTGGAATCGGTGCATGAACCTCAGTTATGCGAATGTACACGCATCTTCCCGAAGGCGAAGCGAGGCTTGCGGTCCTGTTGGCCCAGTATATATTAACTTGAAGGAGGAAGAAGTCGCAATAAAAGTTCCATATTTTGTCGGGCGGTGGCTGCTTGACGGTTTGACCAGGAGTTAATGCACAACCCTCGGCTAACAACATATTATATATACAACCAACCATACAAAGTCTCTAGTGTCAGCTGGCAGTCATACAAAGACAGTAATTTCCCATCCTTTACAATTACATTGGCTGCCCCTTACCGTTGATCTTCTTGTATTCCACCTATTCCCTTCATTCACCAAACATAATTGGATCCGGACCAAAATAGTGTTCGGTGGATGTTTCCATATGCAAGGCTACAATGGATGCTGTTACGAATGTGTCTTTGTCTTCTCTCCTACACCAGACAGTAGAAAAATTCTCTAGGACAAAAGGTATTGACCATACGGGAATCAAGGAGTGCATGTGTACCACTTCTAAAGGACGTATTCATTCTGCAGCCTTTGTCTCGCGTGCTCCCCTTGGTCGCTTGAGAGGTTTCTCTACGTGGGTGGCCTTATTCTGGGTGTGTTGGGATCTGACCATCACAATACTACACTCGCAAGACCAATAGCGGTACGAGCTCGAAAGCATATCTGTTCATCAGATTTCACTTGGAGTGTTTGCGGCTTATCCAACTGCACACCTTTACACGCTTATGTTTGTAGATTGTGATTCGGTCTACAGGATCAAGGCCAATTCAACTCCTTTTTTCTTGCGTGCACGATATCTTTCCATATGCTATGGGGCCCTTTCCACATAGGCCGCAAAACATGTGTCTTCTTTACTAAAAGGTGAAAATCTTCGGAGAATTTTCCTTTTCAACTTTGACTTGCTACGTCTTCCAGTTCTTATTCTTCTCAATAACACAGGGATTGTTCAACATGATATTTTGTCTATTTCGAGAATTTCAGTAGCAATGACTTTGGGTACACGAAGAGAAAATGGTTATTGAACCGAATCCTCACATACAAGTCTCAATATGGCCCTCAGCTGAAATTGTAATTTCGCTCGATCTACTATGCAAGCTACATATTACTATTAGGCTGGTCGGAGATACTCGAACGTATGAGGTCGTGAGACAAATGGGAGTGTTCAGTTCATTGTACAATATGCCTGTTGACACCTATTGCCTTCTGGATGCGTTGTAATAAATTCCTGGAATGTGACATGGTTATCAATTCAGATTCAATCTTTATTATGTAATCCATGAACTCCTTCGTACCTAGTAACTGATGATTCTACAGACATTGGTTGAGCTTTTTCTCCTACAATATGAGGCTATTATAGTTGAAATCTAGGTCATAATACAGTATGTTATTCCGCTTTAAGGGACTTGTATGAAACATTAATGAACGCTCTGTGTTTCTGATACTCGGATCTACATGTGTTGAATAAATTCATTCATGTACAACTTAGGTACTTGATTTTTTAGATCAACACAAATATTAAGACGTACCAAATAAATAATCATAAAAACAATCATGTTTATATTTGGATCATAACATGTCTTCATAGATATTTCACTAATCTATGTTTGATCTACAGTAAACTTGAGTAAAGTATTTATTTACTAAAGTAATTACCTCATTAATTGAAACTGCACTTAATAAATCATCAATAAACTATAAACTCATCAATAGTGCAACTATCACACATGAAATCATTGACCAATATTTACTTCACATGATTTCACAATGATAATATAAGTTGGAATATATGTTTATGATCTTTATAAGTCACTTTCTACATTTTAAACCTATTATTCATCACACTACGAAACTCTTCGGTACTATTAAGACACACAAGTGACAATATCCAAATATTGTCACTTGTGTGTTTTTGATCTTGCAATTTTTATAAGCAATATACTATCAATGTGATGCTAAACTTGTAATAATAGTTTTTTAACACCAAAAAATATTCTAATTATAGAAAATTATACTCGTAAATGAATATTTACTTTAAATATGTCAAAAAAGTACTTTTTGTATTATTAGATTTTCTTCGTTAAAGACTAGTTGTTCAATATATTTATATTGATGTATCACATTTTTCAACATAAATTTAAAATCAAATTATTATTAAATTTTGATTTTACAATTCTATATTTTCATGTACAAATTGTTTATCTTATAAAACTCTATTCTGTTTTAAGAAATGCATTTTTGAAAAATTATGTGAATAGATTTTAATGATTGATCATTGTACACGCAAAGCACAAAAATTATAATTACACTTAACCAATCCAACAATACGAGAAGAATATACACGTATAATGTGGTTCATCCTCAAGTGCTACGTCCACAGAGGAATATAATTGAGAGTTTATTGCTTGAAGTGAGAGACTTCTTATCATACTCATGGTATATATACCCAAGGTAGTCAACCACTCTAAACTATAAATAGCTACATATGCGGTTAACCTCAGTTAACTCCTTAACCAGAGTTATCATCAACAATCTTCCCCATTAACACTCGTTAAGTAGTTTTAGTAATCTCTCTAACCTATATTATTACTCAGCGAGAAATTCTAGACGGAATCCCGACTCAAGGTCAGTCTTTAAACGAGAGTTAACTAGAACTAAGCCTTAGCCAGAACATGATAGAGTAATAATATACAGAGTTAAGTCAACAATCTCACCTCAACTCAAGTTAAGGAATTTCAGTTGCTTCTCTAACCTATATTATTATTCTCATACCAAGATAGAGTAATAATATACAGAGGTAACTCAGCAATCTCACCTTAACTCATGTTAACAAATCTCAATTACCTCTCAAACCTATATTATTTCTCCGCGGAAAGTTCTAGATGGAAACCTACCACAAACTCCCTCTTTAGACGAGAGTTAATTAAAACTAAGCCGTAGCCATAAGAGTATAGAGTAATAATATACAGAGGTAACTAAAAACCATATCTCGTGCTCCATATGCACAACTTGCATAGTAGCACATTGTCGCCTAAGACTCTTCAAAGTAATAACTTTGGTCAACACATTAGTTGAATTGAGTTTAACGTCAATCTTGACTAGCTCAATTGTTTTATCAAACACTGCTTGTCTAATAAAATGATACCTGATGTTGATGTACTTCACTCTGCTATCCATGACTTGGTTCGCAGCCAAATGTATAGCACTCTAGCTATCACAATGAAGATTGATCACGCATTGTGTTAATCTCATCTCCATGATAAGCCTATTCAACCAAATAGCTTCCTTTGCCGCTTTTGCTGTTGCCACATATTCAGCTTTTGTTGTTGACTGAGCTACGCACTTCTGCAAAATGAATCTTCAACTAATGCTTCCGCCGCCAAGTGTTAACACATATACAGTTGTAGATGTCCTTTTGTCTAAATCTTGTATGCAGTCAGCATCAACGTAGCCAAACAAGTACATGGCATTGTCTAATAACCCATCAAACAATAAGCCATAATCTATAATACTCTTCAGATATCTTAGAATCCATTTCACTGATTTCTAGTGAACTTTCCTTGGATTCGACATGTATCTGCTCACATTCCCCATAGCTAGTATAAGGCATAGTGCACACCATTAAATACATGAGTCTGCCTACAACTTGTTCATAGGGAACACATGACATTCTTTCTTTCTCTATAGCATATGTAGAACATATGCTATAGAGAAAGAGAGTAGAGGAGAGGAGTTCATACTCCTTTCGAATCGGCCATGTTGAACCTGTCAAGTATACAGCGAACATACTTGCCTTGACTCAGCCATAGTTTATTTTGTTCAAAATCCCTGTAAATATCCATGACTAATATCCTTTTTGACTCCCCATATCCTTTTCAACAATACTCAATTTAACTGGTTTCTGATGAAAAATATTTCTCAGAAATATTTATGAAGAAATATGACTACACTGCAACCTCCGAGCTGACTCTCACTCAGGTTTACCTCTGATGGCTTTGCGGTAGCGCATCATGGTTCTAGAAGACTAGGATTCATCCTCACACTCATGTCCCAAACACCTTCTTTTCACAAACTCTCCATGTATCACTCCAACTCACACGCAACCTCTCCTCCCATCAGTCTCTTCACATAAACGCAAACACACGTCGATACTCCAAGATACTCAAAAACTTCACTCCTTCATTCCTGAAACATGTCCTCACACATGACTCTCCAAACTTGCTTGAGAGTTGCTACTCTACCTCTCTATTTATACTACTTGAGAAGTTATCATAGTAACATGTGGTAATTTCTCATAACTTACTTTTATCTAGATAAGTTTGACTAATCCTCTCTATGTGACAACATGCCATTGCCCTAGCTAAACTTTGTAGAAATTTCCGGAATCCAAGGTTGAGGTGGCGACATGCCATTAGAAGATTTTAAACTTCTACAAGCTTCTTAGCCACTAAGTCAACACTAGACTTAGTCTAGCCAATCATCTTTCATACATTTCAGTCTAACCAATCAAATCCAAGCTTTTAGTCAAATATCTAATCCCTTGGAATCTAGAACTTTTGTATAAGACGAAATAGAAGTGCTCACTCCATTCTTCTAGAACTACGCTAATCATTCCGCCAACTATAGATATTGTAGCTAAACTTAGTTATGATTAGATAAACTTAGTTATAACTAACTAGTTTAGTCAT